CTGTGCACACCCTCCTCTGACACCCCCTGTCAGATCACTCACCCTGGGACTCTGCACAGAGCCTGACAGGGAAGGTGAGCTGACTGCAGTGAGCCCCGCACCCTTCACAGACTAACTGTGAGTTTGTAGGGACCCAATCACCCACAGGGGGGCGCTGTTGTATCACAAGCTGTTAGCCTCTGGCTGACTCTAGCCCACCCAGCCCTGCTAATTGCTCACTTGGGGACCCTGGTTCACAGTGGATCCGGGTGACAGAGTCTAGACAGGAGCCATTGCTGTTCAGACTGATGGGGCTCGACCTGCGCTCTGACTGTGTCTTCACTAGGCATTCCCTAGTGAGCTCTTGTACCTGAGTGTATCGTGCCAGTGCTCGAATTTGTTTCTATCAAGCTGAAATCTGTTGCCTCTCATACTGATAACAGTGTCCTCTTTCTGCCCCTCTCTGCCTCCCTGTCTCTCCCTCAGGGCTCAGTTCTTCCAGCAGTGTCCCATCCCCCAGCGACCCGCCCTCCCCCTCCCCCAGCTCGGCTTACTCCAGCAGCTCCCTCCCCCAGGACACAGCCATGGACACCTCCCCCTCCCTGTCCCCTTCCTCCCCGTCCCCATCTCCCACCCTCGCCCTCCCCCTCTCCCTGCCCGAACCCTGGGACCTGCCCCACGACCAGGCCGCTGAAGCCGGGGACTCGGGGCTGCGCTGCAGCTCGGGGGACCCCTCCTTCCTCATGGATTATGAGCTGGACTCCCAGCCGCCTTCCAGGTTCCCCCCTGCCTCGCACGACCCCCTGGAGGCCGAACTGCTGAACTACAGCGAGAACGCTGAGAACGAGGGCTACCTGCCCTCAGTGGAGGTGCTGCAGGTACGTGGTGTACAGGAGGTCCCCCAGGTTCCCCAACATTTCTGCTGGCCTTAGCTGGCTTGTCGATCTGATTTTCAAGTCTGGCCAGGATCCTTGTACCAAACACTGCCCCATGGCAACAGTTTAACCTGGGATTTCTTATTGCTGGATCTTGCCCAGCAGGACATGGGATGCAGATTCTGTTCTGTTCTGTTCTGCTGAGTAGAGTTTCACATTCAGGGTTACACAACGGGGGTTCCTGCCTCAAAGGTGCACCCTCGACTGTCCCTCAGGTTGACATGGTGACGCTAGCAGAGCAGATCATTGAAGCCACGCCAGAGCACATCAAGCAGGATGAGTTCTCGCCCTCCGAGTCACCGCTGCGCGAGAGGAGGGAGAATCCCGCCATCCATGACACCATGCCCTGGCTGGCCCGCTACCTGGACACAGTGGACACCATGCCTTCCCTGTCACAGCGGGACAGGTAACACAATGGACACCCGTTCCCTATCATGGGGACAGGTTAAAAACACTGGACACCGCATCCCCTGTCGCAGCGAGACAGGTGACCACTGGACACCTGTCCCCTGTCACAGTGGGAAAGGTGACACACTGGACACCCCGTCCCCTGTCACGGGGACAAGTAACACATTGGACACCCTGTCCAAAATAACTGGCCGAGTTGAAAGCCCAGGAAGGCCAGGCTCTATGACTGGAGTGCTCAGGACTGGGGTGTGAGCAGTATGTTCTGTGTTCTGATGATGACGAGGGCTTTTTTGATTGTATTGAGCAAAAAGATGAGATGGAAAAGCAGAAAACAGTAGGAAGAATATAAATCATTGCTCTTGTGTACCGAAAGGGATGTTATCATAAGAATGTCACTTCTTCTCTTCCTTTCCTCTCTTGCACTCCATCTCACTGTGCCTTCTTCTCTCACTTCATCACACCCCTCCCCTCCCTGTCTCTTCTCTCCTCTCCCTTCTCTCCCCTGTCTCTCTTCCCTCCCCTGTCCCTCTCTTCTGCTTTAGGTGTGCCTGCCCAACACCTCCCCTCAGTCGCCCCCCCTCTCCCTTGAGTGCTTTGGCTTTACAGAGACTCCGCCCCCCCAGCAGTGCAGCATGGGCAGAGTTTCTCAACGCCTCAGCCAATGGGAGGATGGAGCGTGAGTTCGCCCTGCTCACGCTGTCTGACCATGAGCAGCGTGAGCTGTATGAGGCAGCGAGGATCATCCAGACCGCCTTCCGCCGCTACAAGGTACTGGGATAATAGATACTGTAATATACAATACAATTATACACATACTCTGCCAGTACAGTGTGTAAACACGCTCCTGTACTTTACTGTATATACACCAGTAAACTGTACAGTATACTCCTGCACACTATAGCATATAGCATGGCTTCATGAACACAGCTATATTCTCTGTATTCGCCGAAACATTGTTCATTCCTTCTTCCTTCTTTTTTTTCTCCTTCCACCTGCCTCCATATCTACCTCACTCTCTTTCTGTCCCTTTCTCCCTGTCTGTCCCTCCATCTCTCTTTTCCCTCTGTCAGGGTCGCAGGCTGAAAGAGCAGCAGGACATGGCGGCCGCAGTCATTCAGAGG